ATGAAATTTTAGGAATTGATATTGCATTACTATTTTATATTATTACAATGACTAACTACTTATCTTGTCTCTTTGGCATATTTTATTTTTATTCATGAAAAAACTAAAACATGAAAACTTTAATTTTGTATTTATAATTATAATTTAGATGTTTGAGTGGTTTAACTGAAAAAGAAAAAATATATAAAAATAACATTGTGTACTTCACTTTTAAGATCATAAAAAATAAAATATTATGACCACATTAAATATGTTAAATTCATGTTATATTTTAACTAATAATTATAGTTTGAATTTATGGAAACATGTTATTATTGATCTTCCAATATTGTTACTTTCTCGTAGGATTGGAATTTGGTAACACCTATAACTTCATCATGACTTTTATGACTTTTTTAATATAAAATTTTGCATCTCATTAATATAAAATATAAAATAGTGTCTTATTTATTTAAATAATAGTAAATGTATGTGTGAAGTATTTTGAATTTTCTATGTAACAATAAGTTTTCAAAGAATAAGAAATATATGCACTTAAGCTTTAAGTTCTACTTATGATAATAAATTGAAAGATATTAGCAATGTATAAGTAACCATGATGTGTTTTTATATGAACAAAATCGAGAAGATTTAATTTGAGGAATTTGAAAAGGGTCAAGATGGCTTATTACAATAACAAAATAAAAAATGACTTAAAGTTTATTTAGTCAATAATGTTTCTATATTTTATGTCTTTAACTTATAAGTTTTCATTATTTCTCGTATTAGTATTTTGATTGTCACTTATTTTTTCCCCTTAACTTACATGTGTCAGTGAGTTGTTAGAAATTTATAAGTTAAAAGATATAACGAACATTCCATTTGTTATTATGACTTATATTTTGTTCATTGTATAAATTGAAAGATTAAATTACTAAATGGTGTGATGAATTGTCATAAGAAAAAATTAATAAGACAAAATTCAAGGAATTTTAGAAGACTTTCTTTTAGCTATTTTTCTTTTAGATACATTTAAGATTCAATATCACCAATAATTGGATTAAGTTGTATTAGCTAGTGATGTTTTTATATTTTATTTCCTTAATTTATATGTTTATGTTTTTTTAATCTTTATTCATTATAACTTATTGTCATATTCAATATTATATATATATATATATATATAAAAGAAAGATTATAATAATACCGGTGTAACTTTTATTAAATATTATATCATTCAATAACTTTATATTAATTGTAAATTTTGTAAATTTAACTGTTAGATTGAAAGTTTTTTTCTCTTAGATCATATACACAAAATTTTATATTAATCCAAGATGATTTGATACTTCATTCTTATAAAACAAATTTGACGTAATATATTTATTTTAAAATATATTAAAATATTAACACTTTTTTGAATTCGAGTGAGTAAAATATTAACACTTTGATTGCCTTAAAGTTGTTGTTCAAAATTAATAAAATTTGATATAAACATATAAAGTGATATGAACTTTCAATCTAACGGTTAGATTTACAAAATTCACATTTAATATAAAGTTATTGAGTGATGTAATATTTAATAAAAGTCACACTTACTAAGTGTTATACCGCTCAATAACTTTATATTAAATGTGAATTTTGAAAGTCAAAGTGTTCATATTTTAGTATATTTTGAAATATATATATTACGTCAATTTTATTTTATGAGAATGAAGTATCAAATCATCTTAGATTAATATAAAATTTGATATATATTATCTAAGAGATATGAACTTTCAATCTAACGGTTGAATTTTTAAAATTCATATTTAATATAAAGTTATTGAGCAGTGTAACACTTAGTAAAAATTACACCGGTATCGTTTGAACCCTCCTCATATATATATATATATATACCAAAGTAGTTCAACAGTTTTTTTTTATTATTATTAAAACTGTAACTTAACATTTCTCATCCAACAATTTACTATTTAATTAATTACACGTTTATTAATTAAATTTAAAATGTGCAGTTAACTCACACCTATACACATTCTCCATCCATACATGTGTCCCGATGAAACATTCCAATTATCAAAATTAAAAGGGCCAAATGTATTAATTAAATTTGAAATTTGTAATATGAAATTTTATGTTCTCCATGGGTGAATGCTCCCAAACATTTCAGTTAACAAAATTGAAATGGCTAAAAATAAATATTTTAGTTTTTACAAAAGGTTTTGTTTTGTGATAAACTGATTAAAGATCGAGTTAATAAAAAAAATTGTCCACTTTATTAAAATTAGATTTTTTTATTATTAAAAGGACGTTTAATTGATTGATCTACTAATAGGATATTAAAGACGTATTATTTATCTTCATGATAAACATTTAATACATCGTACAAATAAAAAGCAAATTCAACAAATTTTGATTGATTATCACAAAAGAAAAATTAAGAAGATCAATATTAGATCTATTTATGTTTTTAAATTAAATTAAAATTTAATACTAAATATATGTATTTTATGAGAGGATTTTCTTATCAGCAGGAGAGATAAATATTACATCTATTTAGTCAATATTAAAATACATAAGGTGATATTTTTAAATTAAATTATATTCTCTCTGTGACTTAGAATGCAAATTAAATTATATTCCTTCTTCCGTTTTCTTTATGTTTTAACAATTTTATCTATTCATTTTGATTGCTGTTTTACAATATTAATGTAACATTAAATACTTTTTTTTCTATTATATCTTTAGTTATTATTAATATATTTTTTAATTATTGATGAGAATTAAAAAAGCTTAAAAATATATTTAAAAAGTTACATAATTTATTTTTAAAATCAAACATATTAATTATATCTTTAATTATCATGTCGATACCTTAAACATCAAATAAAATGTAACAAATAGATATATGATGAATATAATCCACATTTATTCCTTATCGTATTTTTCTAATAAAAGAATCACATGATAAGATTAAGTTATATATAATTGTATAATCCAAATAATTAACCCATTCAATGAATATCTCCCTAAATTTTTTTTAATTATCAATACTCACTCTATTATCAATTAAAAAGTAAAAAAAAAAATTAATAAATTAGGATAAACTCATTAAATAAAATGAAAAACTTATAAATTTTGACTAGTTATAAAAAAAAGTTTAAATATTTTTCTAGTCCATTAAAATTAGGATAACTTTGTTTTCTTTTTCTTTTTATTTTTTCAAATTAAAAATTAATCTTTTTTATCCTTGAAATTTTTAAAAATGTTATTTAGTTTTTCATATTACAAATAACTCAACTAACAATATCACATTGTAATAAGAGATTTTATTAATAACATGTGATTTTGAACCTTTAAAACAATTCAATGTATTAAATAGATATTTTTAGAAGACTCTAATGACCATAGGTAGGACTTATCTGATTTTCACATTATCATAGTTGACTATACACGGATTAGTAATATCCATTGTTTCTTTTTCTGATCAATATTAATAATGCAGTTCATCTAATAATAACAAAATTAAAATTATAGAATTACAATACAATCAAACTCAAATGAATAAAATGTATTAAATCATAAAGGAGCATCGACTAACTTAAATATGATATTTTCGTTTTAAAAAATATTAGTAGATAAATTTTGTATTATAATATTTAATAAATTTATTAATGATATTTACAATGTTTTTTTTTTTTCAAATTACAAGAATAAAAATAAATTTACTTATATTTAAGATATTAAAAATATATATTTAAGACGTTAAAAGGAGAGTGGAGGGTGTAACGACCCGGCTGACCACTACATTCACAACTACAACGCACCGGAAACACCAGACAGAATAGAACGAGTATATAAATATAGAATCTAGAATATAAATATATACAAATGTTCCAATCCGGCTAGAGTTAGGGTGTACAACACATAAATACATCCAAAGCCACTATATCAAGTAGCTGAAACAACCAAAACATTAGCAAAAGTCAGCTCCGCCTGCCAGCTGCAGACTCACCACTAGACGCCACCTATCCCTGCTCTGCTCCCATACAAAGTATGATCATCGCAGTCCAACCACATGGAAGCAACAAAAGGGTAAGCTAGCAACAAAAGGGTAAGCTAGCATAAAAAGGAACAACATATAGGAAGATTTAAGTAATATGAACATCTACAACTATCAATATATCATCAACATACATTCCATCGATTTTACAGCATAATCATCAATAAGCATATAATGCGTCGTCACGCATATCAACTCGGAGATCTCCTACAACAACTCAGCCTTTCAGTCTAATCAACTCAGCCTTACGGCCTACAACAACTCAACCTTGCGGCCTACATCAACTCAGCCTTGCGGCCTACATCATCAAATATCAACATACAGCACAACACAACTTTACAGCCCAACACAGCAACTTACAACAATATACAAATGATACAACTCAACATCAGCAACAACATTTTCTACTAGTCATCACATTATATTCATCCAGCTCAAATCAACTCTGCATATAATGAATTATCATCTATGCGCCCGACGCACTCACGGTTGCGCCCAACGCAGTACAACCAGAGAACACTAGGAGGCCAGCGCGCCCGGTGCAAGCATGCCCACGCCCGACGGGACTCAACCAGAGAGCCCAAAGCTCTCACGCGCTTGACGCAATAAATAATTGCGCCCAGCGCATGCCAGGCAGAGACTCTAAAGAGTCCCATGCGCCCAACGTGCCCAAACCCGCGCCCAGCGCGGGGTAGGCAGAGACCTCCCTTGGTCTCGCGCCCAGCGCAATTCAAATTGCGCCCAACGCCCACAAGGCAGAGACTCCCAAGGAGTCTCACGCCCAACGCGACAAGGATCGCGCTCAGTGCCATACCAGGAGTACAAAAATCAAGTCACAACCAATATCGCGCCTGGCGCGGTTCGAGTCCCGCCCAGCGTGGGCCATCCAGACGCTAACATCCTCAAGCCCACCCGACGCATACATCTTTGCGCCCGGCGGCTTGCCTAAATGCTGCCCTCAGGTGGCCACGCGCCCGGCGCCAAGAACTGCACTAAGCGCAAACTCAGCAGCAGACCTCCCTATTTTCGAAAATCTCAACAGAACCTGCAAAACAACCAGGAAATTCCACATGCAATCCATTCCAGATATCACATTTCCATCAAACATCTCAAAAATACCACCTTTTTCAACATGCAACAACAAATCAAGAAATCCCCAAATTTTTCCTCAAATCCCCGAATAACCCCGAAAACACTTCCTTCGAATTTCAGCCAAAAAAATCAGTTATTCACAGTCATCCAATGAGTACTAAGACTCAATTTTCAACTCAAAATACACAAAAGTCTTGCTTCCCTTACCTCGGTTCAACAGCTCCGAGCTCCAGGAATAGGAGGACGAAAGAGAGAACGAAAATGGCTTGAACGAGTGAGAAAGGAGAAGGAAGAAATCTGCACACCCCAGCTAGCAATCCAACTACTCAGCACCTAAGCTTACCCAAGAAGGAAGAATCAGCAAATGAGTAGGAAGAGTTTCAGGAAGAAGGAGTGAATGAGAGAATGGGAATGAAAATGAGTATGGGGGAAGAGGGGAAAAATAAGAGCGGGTCTCACAACCTCCCCAACAACAAGAGTTTTTGTCCCCGAAAATAGACTTACTTGGGAAAAGGAATGGATATCTCTCCCTGCACTGCTGCTCCATTTCCCAAGTAGCCTCACCGGTAGCTGCATCCCACAGTACCTTCACTAGAGCAATGGACTTGCCCCTCAACTCCTTTAACTTATGATCCACTACCGGCAACTTCTCGAACGTCATATTTTCCTTCACCTGCACGTCATCCAGCTCCACCACATGACTCGGGTCATGAACGTACTTCCTCAGCTGGGAGACATGAAACACATCGTGTAGGTTTGAAAGAGACGGTGGCAAGGCCAACCGATAAGCAACCGGACCCACACGTTGTATGATCTAATAGGGACCCACGAACCTCGGTGTCAACTTCCTTGCTTTCAATGTTCTACCCACACCAGAAGTCGGAGTTACCTTCAGAAACACATGCTCCCCTTCGGCAAACTCCAAAGGCTTCCGCCTCTTGTCAGCATACGACTTCTGCCTACTCTGAGCAGTCTTCATCCTTTCCTGAATCATCTTCACTTTCTCAGTGGTCTGTATGATTAGCTCCGGACCTACCACCACTGACTCACCATCCTGATACCAGCACAGAGGAGTCCTACATCTTTTGTCATACAACACTTCAAATGGTGTCATCCCAATGCTTGCATGAAAACTGTTGTTGTAGGTGAACTCAACCAACGGTAAAACCTCCTCTCAGCTACCCAGGTGGTCTAACACACAAGCCCTAAGCAGATCCTCCAAGGACTGGATTGTCCTTTCTGTCTGACCATCCGTCTGTGGATGATAAGCAGAGCTCAACTTCAACTTCGTGCTTAAGGCTTGGTGTAGACTTTGCCAAAATCTGGAAGTGAACCTTGGATCTCGGTCGGAAATAATACTGGAAGACACCCCGTGCAACCGTACTATCTCCCTCACATACAACTATGTCAGCTTTTCCAAGGACCACTTGATGTTGACAGGCAAGAAATGCGCACACTTGGTCAACCAATCTACAATCACCCAGATAGCATCACTATTCCTAGCTGACCTAGGCAACCCAACAATGAAATCCATAGTAATGCTATCTCACTTCCATTCTAGAATCTCCATCTGCTGCATCAACCCACTCGACTTCTGATGCTCAACCTGCGCCTTCTGACAAGTCAGACAGGCCGCCACATACTCAGCTATCTCCCTCTTCATACCAGACCACCAGAAAGTCTTCTTGGGGTCCTGGTACATCTTGGTCATACCCGGATGTATGCTAAGTCTACTCTTGTGGCCTTCCTCCAACACAGCTCTTTTCAGCTCAGCATCCCGAGGTAGGCAAATTCTGCCCTTGAACCTTAAGATTTCATCAACGCCCAGCTCAAAACCCACGGCCTTCTCGGTACCCAGCAAACCAAGAAGCTTAACCAACTCAACATCTTGCAACTGCTTGAGTCCAACCTGCCTCAAGAACTCATTAGTTATGGTAATTGCCCCATAACTAATGTGATCCTGAGCTAACTCCACACAGAGATTCAAATCCCTGAACTCCTCCACCAACTCCAATTCCTTCACCATCATACCAGACATGTGGATGGATTTCCTACTCAACGCATCCGCCACAACATTGGCCTTGCCAGGATGATACATCAACTGGAAATCATAGTCCTTCAGAAACTCCATCCACCTCCTCTGCCTCATGTTCAGCTCCTTCTGATCAAACAGATACTTCAAACTCTTGTGATCACTGAAGACGCTGAACTGAGCACCATACAGATAATGTCGCCATATCTTCAAGGCAAAAACAACAGCTGCCAACTCCAAGTCATGAGTGGGATAATTCCTCTCATGGTTCTTCAATTGCCTTGAAGCATATGCCACCACTTTCCTGTGTTGCATCAGCACACACCCAAGACCCTGGTGAGAGGCATCACAGTACACATCAAAAGATTCACCAGAATCTGGCAACACCAACACAGGAGAAGTAGTCAACCTCCTCTTCAACTCCTCAAAACTCCGCTCACAGGCGTCTGTCCAAATGAACGGTTGCTCCTTCCTCGTCAACTGGGTTAGAGGCGCTACTATCTTGGAGAATTCCTCAATAAACCGTCGATAGTAACCCACCAAACCCACAAAGCTCCGAATGTCAGTGACAGTCCTCAGACGCTCCCACTATAACACCGACTCCACCTTAGCCGGATCAACCACAATCCCCTGAGCTGAAATCATGTGGCCTAAGAACTTCACTTCATCCAACCAAAATTCACATTTTGAGAGCTTAGCATACAGCTGCTTTGCCTTCAAAATCTCCAGCACCAACCTCAAGTGCTCTCCATGCTCTTCCCGGGTCCTTGAATAAATCAAGATATCATCAATGAATACCACCACGAATTTATCCAAGAACGGTCGGAAGATCCTGTTCATGTAATCCATGAACACTGCAGGGGCGTTGGTCACACCAAACGACATCACGACATACTCGTAGTGACCATACCTAGTCCTGAAAGCAGTCTTCGGTATGTCACCCTCCTTCACCCTAATCTGGTGATAGCCCGACCTCAAGTCAATCTTCGAGAAAACGGTCCTAAGTTGATCCATTAAGTCATCTATCCGTGGCAGTGGATATTTGTTCTTAATGGTTAACTTATTCAACTACCGGTAATCTACACAAAGTCGACTACCTCCACCCTTCTTCTTCACCAACAACACAGGAGCACCCCACGGCGAAACGCTCGGCCGCACCAACTGTTTCTCCAATAGGTCCTCCAACTGACCCTTTAAATCAACTAACGCAACAGGAGTCATCCTATAGGGAGCCACCGACACTGGCCCCGCACCTGGAACCAGATCAATGCTAAACTCCATCTCTCTAACAGGAGGCAACCCATACACTTCATCAGGAAACACTTCAGCAAAGTCTCTCACCACATCTATCTCAGAAATAACCCTCTCAGCCTCCACACTCATCATAGCAAGCAGAAGGCAACACTCCGCTCCATCCCTCAGCATTGATTCAGCTTGTCCAGCTGAAACCAACAACTCATCCTCTTCCTGTGGAAAGATCAACCGCCTATTGGCACAATCTATAAGGATACAATTGGCAGATAACCAATCCATCCCTAAGATTATGTCAATATCAACCAAAGACAAACAAATCAAGTTTACCTTGTACTTCTTCCCATTCACAATAATAGGGCAGTTAGCACATAGCTCATAAGCAACTACTGAAGCAGATGCGGGCGTCGACACTAGCAGTCTCAACCCCAAGTCACACACAGGCACACCCAGCACAACAACACAAGCATAGGAAATAAAAGAATGGGAAGCCCCATAATCAAACAAAAACATCACATCCTTACCAGCAGCCTTGCCCTTCCCCTTCACTAGGTCATAAGAAGTCGAAGCCTCAGCACCCGCCAAAGTGAACACCCTACCAGCTGTAGTGGGTCTGTCACCCCTCTGAGTCTCAGTCCTCTGCACACTACTCCTCTGAGTATCAACTCTCTGCATATCACTCCTCTGAGTACTCCTCTCCAGTCTATTCCTAGTGGGACAGTTGAAAGACACATGGCCCATCTGCTGACATCTGAAACATATGCTCTCAGTGTGTGGACAATCCCTGATCAAATGGGATCCACCACACCTGTAACACCTAAGGGCAACACTTCCACCCTGTCCTCCTCCTCTAGTAGTCTCAGCAGGTTGCCTGATGACAGGACCCCCCTGCTGTGACTGGGGCCTATCATACGGCTTCCTTTGACTTCCACCTCCCCTCTTGGACCCAGCTGGTCCCTCAGTAGCTTTGATCACACGGTTACCCCCTTCCAACCTCTCCACAATCTTTGCCTTCTCTACTAAGGCCAGAAACTCGGTGATGGCCATAAGCACCACCACCTTCTTCAACTCATACTTCAGACCCTCAGCAAACTTTCTGCACTTCCAGGCCTCAGAAATAGCCTATGAATAAAAACGAGCCAAGTGCTCGAACCTCATTGCATACTCCGATACAGATAGCCCTCCTTGGTGTAACTGCATGAACTCCGCCTCCTTGGCGTGCCTCACGCTCTCCGGGAAATACTTTTCCATGAACACTGTCCTAAAGCACTCCCAGTCAACTGTAACTCCTCTCGCCACAAGCATCTGATAAGTGCTCCTCCACTAATGTTCGGCCTCTCCCACAAGCATATACACAACATATGTCAACCTCCTCTCTGGAGAACATCCCAGAACGGCAAAAATCTTCTCCAATTCACATATCCAGCGGTCAGCTGCCTCTGGATCTGCATCTCCCGCAAACTATGGAGGATGACACTTCCGAACTCAGCTAGGTCCCGGCTCTCCTGTGACCCCGTGGGCCTTGCTGTACCAGCTGCAGCTCTTTCAGCTTCCATCCGAGCAAAATAAGCATTTTGCTGCTGCATAGCCATAGCCATCATCTCTATGGAACGGGCTATTTGTTTGTTGGTTCTAGTCATCGTCTACAAAAATAACAACATCTTCAGTATACTACCACTCAACCAATCAATAATTAACAACACAACAATTCATCACATCAATCAACACAGCAAACAACACAACAAGGCAGCACAACACAGAGTTAACACAACAAAAGCCTAAAGGAACCACCCCCAAAAAGTGTCCACTAGACTTGAACTCCTTTGATACCACTAAAGTGTAACGACCCGGCTGGCCACTACACTCACAACCACAGCGCACCAGAAATACCAGACAGAATAGAACGAGTATATAAATATAGAATCTAGAATATAAATATATACAAATTTTCCAATCCGGCTAGAGTTAGGGTGTACAACACATAAATACATCCAAAGCCACTATATCAAGTAGCTGAAACAACCAAAACATTAGCAAAAGTCAGCTCCGCCTGCCAGCTGCAGACTCACCACTAGACGCCACCTATCCCTGCTTTGCTCCCATACATAGTATGATCATCACAGTCCAACCACATGGAAGCAACAAAAGGGTAAGCTAGCATAAAAAGGAACAACATATAGGAAGATTTAAGTAATATGAACATCTACAACTATCAATATATCATCAACATACATTCCATCAATTATACAACATAATCATCAATAAGCATATAATGCGTCGTCACGCATATCAACTCGGAGATCTCCTACAACAACTCAGCCTTTCGGCCTACATCAACTCAGCCTTACGGCCTACAACAACTCAACCTTGCGGCCTACATCAACTCAGCCTCGCGGCCTACATCAACTCAGCCTTGCGGCCTACATCATCAAATATCAACATACAACACAACACAACTTTACAGCCCAACACAACAACTTACAACAATATACAACTGATACAACTCAACATCAGCAACAACATTTTCTACTAGTCATCACATTATATTCATCCATCTCAATTCAACTCAGCATATAATGAATTATCATCTATGCGCCCGACGCACTCATGGTTGCGCCCAGCGTAGTACAACCAGAGAGCACCAGGGGGCCAGCGCGCCTGGCGCAAGCATGCCCGCGCCCGGCGGGACTCAACCAGAGCCCAAAGCTCTCACGCGCTTGGCACAATAAATAATTGCGCCCAGCGCATGCCAGGCAGAGACTCCAAAGAGTCCCATGCGCCCAGCGTGCCCAAACCCGCGCCCGGCGCGGGGTAGTCAGAGACCTCCCTTGGTCTCGCGCCCAGCGCAATTCAAATTGCGCCCAGCGCCCACAAGGCAGAGACTCCCAAGGAGTCTCACGCCCAACGCGACAAGGATCGCGCTCGGCGCCATACCAGGAGTACAAAAATCAAGTCACAACAAATATCGCGCCTGGCGCGGTTCGAGTCCCGCCCGGCGTGGGCCATCCAGAGGCTAACATCCTCAAGCCCGCCTGACGCATACATCTTTGCGCCCGACGGCTTGCCTAAATTCTGCCCTCGGGTGGCCACGCGCCCGGCGCTAAGAACTGCACTAAGCGCGAAGTCAGCAGTAGACCTCCCTATTTTCGAAAATCTCAACAGAACCTACAAAACAACCAGGAAATTCCACATGCAATCCATTCCAGATATCACATTTCCATCAAACATCACAAAAATACCACCTTTTTCAACATGCAACAACAAGTCAAGAAATCCCCAATTTTTTCCTCAAATCCCCGAATAACCCCGAAAACACTTCCTTCAAATTTCAACTTAAAATACACAAAAGTCTAGCTTCCCTTACCTCGGTTCAACAGCTCCGAGCTCCAGGAAGAGGAGGACGAAAGAGAGAACAAAAATGGCTTGAACAAGTGAGAAAGGAGAAGGAAGAAATCCGCACACCCCAGCTAGCAATCCAACTACTCAACACCTAAGCTCACCCAAGAAGGAAGAATCAGCAAATGAGTAGGAAGAGTTTGAGGAAGAAGGAGTGAATGAGAGAATGAGAATGAAAATGAGTATGGGGGAAGAGGGGAAAAATAAGAGCGGGTCTCACAGAAGGAGAGTTCACAATCTTGGAGACGTTTATTTTAAAGTATAATATATATTTCTAAAAATATTATACTCAAAAATATTATTTCCATGAATATATTTATTTGACATTATTAATTAATTAAAAAATTAGTAAAAAATGTAAAATGAGAAAATGAAAAGAGATAATTATTAGAAAAAATAACTTCCATTTTATATGAGGATATAAAATATGCATCTTTCACTAATAAAGACATGTAAAATAGAAATGTTTTACAATCTTAAACATAAAACATATAAAGTAATATGAAAAGATCACTAAACAAAAAGGTCGTAAAATAGTGTATGTGTATTTATAAAAAGTATATAGTAATTATTAATTAATTTCTAAAAATGCATATACAGTATAAGAAAGAAATGACGCGTAGGAAGGAAAAACGTGCGTGGAAACAAAGAACAGTGACTTTATACGAAAAGAGAATCAATGTTGGTGAGTGAGCGTGTTCACTAAGGTACCTCTTTTCTTCTCTTCTCTTTTCTGCTGACCCAAGTTACGACAAACCACACTGACTCCTTCCTTCTCTCTCTCTCATTATTATTATTTTTCCTTTCCATTTCTCTCTTCAACCCACCCTCCAACGTCGTCGTTTTGATCACCCCACACTCCGCTAATGCCGGACGGAGAATCCTCTAGCGTCGCCGGCGGTCAACCGTCCGTCGATCCCTCTTCCAGTCTTTCTCAAGTCAAGAAAGATCCCAGGAAAATTGCAAGAAAGTAAGTAACTTTCGCCACCCCTTTTCCCTTCCCATCATGTTCTTCACTCTCTCACGCTTATTTTTCAAGTGGGTATGTGGGGTTTGATCATTACTGCTTGGTGGTATTTGCTGTGCAGTGAGTTAGTTTTTTTTGTTTGGCTGTTGCCAAATGGAGTTGGAAAAAACGCCCGTTTCAAGATTCTACTTAAAATGTGGCTGCTGAATTTAATTTCATAAGCAAGCTTTGTTCTTTATGCAAAATTGTAACTTCTTGCTTCTTGAACGTTTTAATTGAGTGCTTTATTATTTATATGTTTTATTCCAGAAATTAGTTGTTTTGTTCAAGAAAATGTTAGTCTGAAGTGTGCTGTAGAAAATGTTTGCAATCTTATGAATGTTTTGGTCATTTGATAGGTATCAGTTGGAGTTGTGCAAAAAGGCTATGGAAGAAAACATAATTGTGTATTTGGGGACAGGGTGTGGGAAGACTCACATTGCCGTGCTTCTTATGCATGAGATGGGTCATTTGATACGGAAACCGCAGAAGAACATATGTGTCTTTCTTGCTCCCACTGTGGCTTTAGTTCATCAGGTGAGTGTTCTACATATTTTTCAATGTCGTATTTTACTGTCTGTAAGGCCTGTGGAAATGGCTTTCTAGGATAAGCCTAGCAAGGAAGCATTCTGTTGTATTAACTGAACGTGAAATTTGAGATAAGAGCTGAGGTTTTATCTTTGGTTGTTAATTGTTGCAATTGGAGGCAGTCTCAATTTCTCACCAATCTTCTCAAATAAAACGTTGCTTCAATGCTAGAATTACAAATCTTAGTAATCTAATTGTTGTGTGAACCAAGCATGGTCGTGTTATGTGCGAATCTGATGCATTGATTTGTTCTTGTGTTTAATAATTTCCCACTGAACTTTAGTTTTAACTTATTTAACTATGTTGGTCAATTCTATTACGTGTTTTCTGAAGCTTATTTTTTCATTTATTTATAGCAAGCAAAGGTTATAGAAGACTCTACTGATTTTAAGGTTGGGACTTACTGTGGGAGTTCAAAGCGCTTGAAACGTCATCAAGACTGGGAGCAGGAGATTGAACAATATGAGGTGACAATGCTAGTTAAATCATGTTGAAATTAATTATGTTCTCTAAAATATTTCATTGTGTATCCAGATGTGTTACAGTTGCAGCAATTTTAAGCAAAAGTTGTTGAAAGAAGGGTGGTGTAATCAATTAAATTTTATACAGGAAAAAATTCAAATGGGCTCCTGTTGTTTTGGAATCTTAAAAAATATACTTGGTTAAATTTTATTTCAGTGGTGTTCGTTGCTTCTAAAATTGCACTTTGTGTTCTTGAATTTCCTCCTTCAGGTTCTTGTTATGACCCCACAAATATTACTTCACAACTTATCTCATTGTTTCATCAAAATGGAGATGATTGCACTTTTGATATTTGATGAATGTCATCATGCTCAAGTCAAAAGCAACCATGCTTATGCAGTAATCATGAAAGTATGTTGTACTTTTGCTTATGACATTCAAAATGGAGCTACACAATTTTCTGCATAAAATCTCTCCATATCCATACATTTAATTTTTGATAATATTTAATTTGGCAATTTGTCAGGTCTTCTACAAAAGTAATTCCACAAAGGTTCCCCGTATATTTGGCATGACTGCTTCCCCTGTTGTAGGAAAAGGTAACATAATAATGCTTATCTTATATCTTCAAGAAGTTGAGTACTAACAAGAGCCAAGATATTTGCCTGCCTCAATCACATTTTGATATTGTTGGATTACTTACAGGGTTTAGGTATGGAAGGAGGAAAATAGAGAATACAGACTCTGAAAATTGAATTGATATGGTGTATTATGATGTGCTGTGATACAAAATACAAAGCACAGACCCCTATTTTTACTATGAATTAAATTAAGGTCTAGGTTCCTAACTCTAATTAGACAAAGAACAAATAACTTCCCAAAAAGATAGATTCATTCACCATGAATAAGGTTCCTAAACAGATAAGACCCCTAAAGGGCATCCTAAACAGTTATCTTTAATATTACATAAGTTATCCTTGTCTATTATGCTATGCATCATTCTCTCCTTCCAAGATATTCTGTAGATATTCCAACTGACACAAACTTTACATTATCTACACTAGTAAGTTCTGAACCAACGACCTACCCTTGTGGGAAATTGTCCTTTAGTTATGGAAGAGAGGGTATGTGATGGCTTTAATGTGAAGTCTGTACATTTGGTTTAAAGGAGGGAAGGGGTGGGGGAGGAGGAGGAAGGAGAGGTCCCGTTGTTTGGTTTGGTTCTAGGGGAGTAGGAAGGGTCACTTTGTTTGGTTTGCTAGGTGAGGGGAGGAAAAATATACTGTTGTACCCTTAGTAATGGAGTACATAATAGGAGATAAAATAAAATCTTGCTGACATTGGTGTTAATATATCCTTTCTTATTGTTTATGCATATTTGAATAAGCATAGTTCGCTAAATACCAAGTTTACTGTAGTTTATTCCTAATATGTAAAATCCTCTTGATAACTTGTGAACTTGCTGGTTCTTTCCATTTTCAGGTGCTTCTAGTGAAGCAAATCTGGCAAAAAGCATCAATAGTCTTGAACAAATGCTTGATGCTAAGGTAGGGTTTACTTAGTTCAATATGTCAAAATGCTTAAATTTGTGAACAACATTGGTTGCTTGTGAAAAAGATATTGTGTCAAACTTTTACTGTCCTTTCTGATGCAAGAAAGAAAATTTTCTTTCCATTAAGTATTGACTATGAAACCATTGATATAATAGGTGAGTGTGTATTGATCAAGTGTTTGCCTGAGCTAAGGTTTGTGGAAATGTAGTATTTGAGCTCCATACAAAGATATTGGTGTCTGACTCTTCTGAATTCCTTATATTTACCTTATATGTAAAGTTCATGGTTCTTGTGGATAGTTATTTATTATCTAGTTGTGCTGGTTAGATACTGTGCATGGTAATGGTTACTAATCTCTAATGATTTGAATCTCATTTGTAGGTATACTCTGTTGAAGACAAGGAATTGCAATCTTTTGTGACCACTCCTGTGATTAATATATATCGTTATGGTTCAACTGCAAGTGGGGAAACTAACTTGTACTTGAAAATTGAGGAGATTAAACGCCAGGTGCACTTTTGCTATGGGTTTTAAGATGATTAGATAAATAATGTTTGCTGATCACTGCATAATTTTATTTGAATAGTGCATAGCAACCCTTGGTAGGAGTATAGAAGATCACCAGAAACGGATGAACACAAAGAAACTTCTGAACCGGATGCATGATAATGTGGTTTTCTGTATTCAGAATCTTGGCATTTGGGGAGCATTGCAAGTAAGAGACTCTTGTAGTTGATTATAAGTTTTTGTTCTGTAATCATTTGACTAGAATGGGGTTATTAAGTCAATAAGTCTTTTAGCAGAATCTATAAATAATAATAAAAGAAATAAAATTTTGTCATTTGTTCTGTTTTGTTGGTCCCCTCCACATCCAATGAAGTAAAAGCCCAGGAAGAAAAATAAGCCTAGAATAGGCTGTGGAGTTTCTTTGTGATGATGAATCGTGTAGAATGATATTTTCTTTATTGAAGATAATGTCTTGGCCCCAATTCTGCTAGTGATGTCATTTAGACAAGTCTTGTGAATGTTTCTTTGTGATGATGAATGGTGTAGAATGATGTTTTCTTTATTGAAGATGATGTCTTCGCCCCAATTCTGCTAGTGATGTCATTTAGACAAGTCTTCTGAATGCATGTGTTCCTTGGGTTTTGGTGTATTTCTGTTTTCTCCTTTTGCATTTTGTTATAGATCTCTGATTATCTCTGTTTTATTATATTTATTTGTCCATTCCTGTGGTTTTCCACCACGCTTCTTGTTTTATTGATATCGGGAAATGATTTTATAGGGTAGAAGGGCTGTCACTTAACTATCTTGTTTTTTATTCTTTTTTCCTTCTCTAATATATGTATTTACCTTCCAAGGCTAGTCGTATTCTTTTGAGTGGTGATCGTTCCGAGAGGCATGAACTAGTGGAGGCAGAAGGAAATTCAAGTGATGACTCTGTGTGTGATAAATATCTTGCTCAGGCTGCTGAACTTTGTACTTCACAATGCATGATAGGTATTTTCACATTGCTTTTTCTTCTTTTAATCATGCCACTGCTGTTACTAGGTTTTTCAGCTGTCATGTGCTTCCATTTTGCTTGATGTTAGTGTAACATTTGTCTAGCAATGAATTAGTCTCTTTCATCATTGTTAATTTTGATGATATGTTTAAAACAAAGTTCTTGTAGGATTTATGCTTCATTTTTATTGCCGCTAAACATTTTTTTTTTGTAGGTGACAGTGCATCTGATTTATCTTCTGTGGAAATATTAAAAGAGCCATTTTTCTCAGCAAAGATTTTACGCCTCATTGGGATACTGTCCAACTTTAGGTTGACAAAACAATGTTGTTTAAACCATTCCTTTTTATACATGTTTTCACATAGCTTGTGTCTCATTGATATTTTTGGTTATGAAACTAATATATTTGGGCAAATTCTGATTACATGTTCCAACTTCAGGTTGCAAAAGAACATGAAGTGTATAATTTTTGTGAATAGAATTGTGACTGCAAGATCCCTGTCATGCATACTACAGAAGCTCAAGCTTCTAAGACAATGGAGGAGTGATTTTTTGGTAGGAGTCCATGCTGGACTGAAGAGTATGTCGCGAAAGACCATGAACACCATTGTTGATAAGTTTCGCTCAGGAGAGGTGTTACTATTGGATTTCTCTCATTAATTTTTAAATGTTATTGTGGGAACTAAAAAGCCTTTAAGATCCTATATGCTAACTTTTAGTTCAGTGTGATGAAAAAAATAAATAAATAAAGTTATAGTCCTGTGTATGTGTGAATAAGTTGCTAATTGTCATAGAAGCTTCTTTGATTTTACCTGATAGTTAGTTATAATGAGAATAGGGTTTCTGCCCTGGAAATGGTTGCTCTATAAGCTCGGGGCTGGCCCTGGATACTGCTGATAGAAGTCCTTATTAGACACAGTGCCTAGCTTGTTTTCTCTGAGAAGATAAATGGTCTGAGGATGTCTTGACTCTTGATTAATGTTGTTGATTGGATTCTTATTGTATAGAATTGTATGTCTTTGATAGATACTGAAATTACAATATGAACATAGAAGAAGGAAATTCAGAGAACAAGCTCTGATATTACAATGGAAATTGCAGGAAAATATAGAAAGATAAACCAAAAAGAAAGAAATCAAAGAGTTGGAACTTCCTGCCCTGAAATCCAAGCCACTACCAAATTGCACCTTCCCCCCTACCTCGCCCCCACACCCTATAACCAAAGCCCATCAATGCGAAGTAGAATTTATTAATCATAAATTCAATAATGTAAAGTGTCGCAATTTTTTCTAATAATTTGCTACCATAAACTAAAAAAAGTGTTATTTAATTTTCTATTACTACAAATGATGTAGCAATAAATGTATTGAGGGAATGTAAAATGTCTCTTAACTAGTAAAATTATGAAATAGCTGGGAGCTACTGGGGATTTTTGTAAAAAAATATTTTACCTAACTTCTCAGCATGTACTTTCAAGCATTATTGGTGTTAAGGTGGTGAATGTAACTGGGGATAAAGATATAAGTGATGATGGCTTGAATATGTTGATATTTCCTAGTTTGTCAGAGTTGAGTCCTAAGCCTATGTGGCTCCATGCTGTTAACAGTTGAATCTATTGGTTGCAACCAAAGTGGGTGAAGAAGGACTTGACATTCAGACATGTTGCCTTGTTGTACGATTTGATCTTCCAGAAACTGTTTCCAGCTTTATACAGTCAAGAGGTCGTGCACGTATGCCTCAGTCAGAATATGCCTTTTTGGTGGACAGGTACTCTTTCTTTCTAATAGATTTCAGAAGTAATTTAGGTTTAGGCAAATCCATCCATTTGGTTACTTATGAGATCTTCTTGTTGCAGTGGCAATAAGAAGGAACTAGACATAATTGATGGTTTTGAAAAAGATGAGTACCGAATGAATATGGAAATCACTATTCGAACATCCAATGAGACATACATCATTCCTGAGGAAAGAATATTTAGAGTTGATTCGTCTGGTGCTTCTGTTAGTTCTGGATATAGTATCTCATTGCTTCACCAGTATTGTTCAAAGCTTCCACATGATGAGTATGAGCTTATTTAAACTGAACCATTTTGTTTGTTCCAAATTATATACACAACCAAGGAGTTCCGTGCAAATAAAGTACAAATCTTGTTTTTTGGATGTAATAAATCCATCTTAACAGGTACTTTGACCCCAAGCCAAATTTTTATTACTTAGATGATTCGGGGGGAGTTGTCTGCCACATAACATTTCCTTCGAATGCACCAATACACCAAATTTTGGGTACACCGCAGTTGTCTATGGAGGCTTCCAAAAGAGATGCTTGCCTGAAAGCAATAGAAGAACTTCATAAATTCGGTGCTTTAAGTGATTGTCTCTTGCCGAAGCAGGATGATGTAGAGCCAGAGGAGCGGGTTTCAGGCTCTTCTGATGAAGATGAATGTGAAGGTCAAATTTCAGCTGCTTTCTGATATGCCATTACTTTCATTGCCTTTCACTGGGTTGTCAAAAATGTGCTGTATAAATTGTATTTTGTAATAAACTGTTGAGCGTATTTACATGTCAACCAGTGTATTAAGGAGAAAGACTAATCCAGCAAGCTTCCATGGTGACCATTTTCTGGCTTTTTTAATTCTGTTACTTAATCCCGTATTTGTATTTATTATTACTGGTCTATGGGTTTAGCGTTAATCCCAGTGTCAGTGTATAAACTTCTATACCATCATCCAATAATGTCTGATCATTAAAAAGATTTCCAGCCAGTTAGTTACTGTCACAAACTCTTCTGATGATGCAGTAACACATGGTTGGAAGATAGTTTAAAAAATTTTACATCAACTTTTGGATCAATTTAAATTCTTTGTATCTATATATAGTTTTTTCTAATCTTGGATGGGAGGGTTTCTATTTGTTTTCGGATGTAGTACTATTATTTTGTTGATTGCTATCAACTTTTGCCCCAAGGGATATAATTATATTATTGTGTTGTATTGTACTGTATTCATTTTCATGTTTTTTTTGCAGATGGCATGTCAAGAGGAGAATTACATGAGATGCTAATTCCTTCTGCCTTGGGACAATCATGGATAAATGAGGATAAAGTTGTCTGTCTTTACTCTTACTACATAAAATTTTGTCCCTCTCCAGCAGATAGGGTCTACAAAGCATTTGGTCTATTTATCATGGCTAGTCTTCCAATGGAGGCCGAGAAATTGGAACTTGATCTCCATCTTGCTCATGGTCGATCTGTGATGACACAATTTGTCCCATTTGGAGTTGTAGAATTTGACAAAGATGAGGTGAATGACATTTTTTATTTATTTAAAATAACATAAAGAGAATTTTAAGTTAATGCTTGGAGTTTTCCATCCTGCAGATTAAGATGGCAGAAAATTTTCAAGAAATGTTCCTCAAAATTATACTTGATAGATCAGAATTTGTTTCCGAGTTTGTAGACTTGGGTAAGGGTGGTGAATCTCTCACAAGCACATCAACCTTCTACCTTTTGCTTCCAGTTGTATTACAATATGAAAATGCCATGAAAGTAGACTGGAAGACAGTGAAGAGATGCCTTTGTTCACCAATTTTCAGGCACCCAGCAGATACTATGGATAAAAAAGTTTTCCCTTTAGATATTCACCTGCAACTTGCCAATGGTTACAGAAGTGTACGAGATGTTGAGAATAGTTTAGTGTATGCCCCACATAAGAAGAACTTCTATTTTGTCACAAGTATTAACTATGAAAAGAATGGATTTAGTCCTCATAAAGATTCAGGCACTTCAAGCTATGTGGATTACTACATTGAAAAGTAGGTGTTAGTATCTATTTATTATTACGGTTTCATCCTTGTTTCATTTCTGGTTGTGCATTCTTAATTCTTCTATGTTGATGCAAACTTTCATATTTGTGGGAGCTTTTTAAAATTGCTGATTAACTGATTGAATTAGATATCTGAGAATGTGTATACATGTAAGTTGGAATATCATATATGAGGATTGCTAACAATACACTCACTCTAACATGCACCCTATTATTGGTTAAAATTTATTGAAAATCACAAAATTAAGTGGAAGATTCATTAAATGAGAAGTGAGACCTACTAAAATTTGTTATATAAATTTCAGCCAATAGTAGATAGTGCGTTCAAAAGAGTGTCTTGCATTTCTTGATCATATCATTTGTGCGTATGATATTTAAGTTGTGCTTATATTTGACAAAAACATGCATGCTTGGATGTCAGGTTTTCCATTCACCTCAAATGCCCTGAACAACCACTTCTGCATGTAAAACCACTCTTCAATTTGCACAACCTGCTACACAACCGAAAGCCTGGGGATGCAGGTACTGTATTGGATATGTTATTTTTTGCATTAAAGATTGATAGGAACAGTATTCATTTCCCAGCCTTAGGAATGGTGAACCCCGATAAAACCATGTTCTACCAAAACTGTCCTTATCCTCCTTCTGATTATCATGATGTGCCCCTCTTTATCATTTTGCTCCAATTCAGTAAGGATTCTCTACTGTTCTCTTGCTTCCAGATCAGCATGCTCATCATTCCTCTCTTCTCCCCTTGGACCATAACTAACTCTTCTTTTGGCCCATTATCCATAATTTGAGTCCCTTGCTGTTTATTTCTTGAGAAACACGGGATATGGGCAATAGAGCTTAATTTTGCTTGTGGGATGTCTAGGCTTTGTTATTTTTCCTCATTTCAGGTCCAATAGGTTGTGTCAAAGGTGTGCAAAGAGTTACAAATAAAGTTATAAGGTTTGTTTGAATAAACTTCTCCAGAAGTACTTCTAGGAGAGAAAGAGATGGGAGGGCACCAAAAATAAGAGCATCACCTGAAATGATGTCAGAATGTGAACAACCTCTTGTATTATTGATAGAGAATGTATTAGAAATATTACAAAGCTCTAAGCAACTATATTTATGTAGTAGCTCAAGCATACAAGATATGATTCTTTCTACAGAAAAAGTACAAACGAAGCTACATAACTAATAGTGTGACACATATAACAAACTAAAAGTGACAGCATATGCCACTGTCAACTAATAACCCAAAAGAATTACAGAGTAAAATACTATACTATAATATGGAACATGTCAAAGATAGACTGTATAGCATTTTTTTACGCTTTAGTTTAGCAATTGAAAAAGTGTGCATTGACTACTTTCATGTTTGTATCTTGATTTTGGATTTATTTTGTATTCTGATATGAAAAGTGTGAATTGACTTCCGAATCTTCTTTTATTGTTTGTAACATTTGAATGTCAATGACAGAACCACATGAGCTGGAGGAAGAACCACATAAGCTGGAGGAATACTTAATTTATTTGCCTCCTGAGCTATGTGAACTGAAAATAATAGGCTTTTCAAAGGATATTGGCAGTTCCATATCTTTGTTGCCTTCAATTATGCATCGTCTTGGAAACTTGATGGTGGCTATTGAACTCAAGCACATGCTATCTTCTTCCTTTCCGGAGGCTGCTGAAATTAGTGCTCTTAGAGTAAGGCATTATTAAATTCATTACAATATTTACATTCTTTTTACAAGTAGTGTATTCTTTTTCATCTAACCATAGCAGTGCTTATATTGTACCAATGAATCTTGTGGTTAAGAGCAACTAACAATTCTGAACAAATTAATAGGTTCTAGAGGCCCTCACCACTGAGAAGTGTCAGGAGTGCTTTTCCCTTGAAAGACTTGAAGTGCTTGGCGATGCTTTCCTTAAATTTGCTGTTGCACGTCATTTTTTTCTCATGTACGACAGCCTTCATGAAGGAGACCTCACAAAAAGGCGTTCTAATGCTGTAAATAATTCCAATTTGTTTAAGTTGGCTATTAGGCGCAATTTGCAGGTAAATTTATACTCACATATCCTGTCTTCATTTCCTTAACAAGAAACTATAATTATTATTCATTAGTTTTCTGTTAAGATTAGTGTTTCTGCATCCACCACTCTATTTCAGAATGAGATCACTTGTTGAAGCTTCCAAAGAACCCTAATCTCTTATTCAGACCAGGAAAAATAAATATATACATGGGAACTAATTTCAATAACTAGCTAATTAGTTAATATACATTCTCAAATTATCTTGGCAATGAAAAACATATAGTGCAGAATTTGAATGTCTTTAATTCATAAGTCCTAATTCAACTGTATCATTGTAGGTGATAGATAGACAAAGAACTTTGTGGTGGGACCTACTACCATGTCTCTCCTAAAATGTTGAGAGCTAAAATGAGAGAAATCAAATCCTTTTTGTGAAATTAATTGATGCGTCTGATGAGCATGAGGGTTTATTGGATGGATTAATGGTGGAATATTGGCAGATTCAAGGGTCCTTCTAGATAGGCAAAGGACAACTGAAGTTTGCATTTATTTAGCTAAAATGAAAGCAGCCAAACCCTATTTTATGAATTAATTTTATGCATTTGGAGTCTGGACATAGGATAGGACTTTGAAATTTGGTGTTTATAGGCTAAGATTTGTATAAGCTTTTGCAAGAATTAGTATATGTTTGAAATGGTCATTAAGAACAGCAATTTGGGTTTGTATCCTAGTACAAAGCAATTTGCATTGCTTGCAGGAATAGAAATGAGTGAGGCAACTACGCTTACATATTGTGTCTAAATAGCTTATCGATTTTCACTCATTTGTTTTCCACCATCACATTTCCATGACTGCCAAGCAGGCAAGCACTCCCTTGAAAGCTGATAGGTTTTAGGTAGATTCAAGCAAGAACTTACTAGAGGTTTAAAATAAAATAGAAAATCTACTTTTTTTTTTGCAAGAAAAATTAGGAATGGGGTGGTTCCATTAAAGAAAAGAAACATTATTTGAAAAGAACATTCACATAAGCTTTATGCCTTTAATTCAATCTCGTGACAAAAATAAAAACAACTTACGAGATGAAAATTAGATATTAATTTCCAAGCCCAATAGTGTTGGGCATAAGAAATTGTATTGGAAAAAATTCAAGTCTATTGAAAAAAATCCAAATTTTACATCGACTACATATAAGGTAAAGATAGAGTTTATAAGTGGTGGTAAACCTTCACTTTACTAAACAGTTTTGCAGAATTGATTTGAGTTCAAATTCGCATTCTTAAGACTATAGAGGCCTATTAAGGATGTAGGCTTCCTACTACTAGTACTACTACTAACCCAATAAGGAATACTTAGACCTCTAGGAAATAACAAAGATGATAAAACTATTGGGACTCACATTGCCTACCTCAAATTCTTTGGGTGCGGTTTATATGTGTTGGGCGACTTCGCTTAATGTCAATTGGTTTTAAGATGAAATCTAATATGGTATCAGAGCCTAGAGCCCATCTTCTTGTTTTGCCTATTTTGGTAGATATCATGTGGTTCGATAGACATCTATGAAGGGGGGGAGGGGGTGTTGGGAAGTCCCACATTGCCTGCCTCAATTCTCTGGGTGCGGTTTATATATTTGTTAGACAACTTCGCTTAATACCAATTGGTTTTAAGTCCTATCTATTAATGGATCTTTTCCTGACTAACTTGGATCTTAGTTCCTATCAGAACTACATTTGGATAACATAAATCCAAGCCCAATACAAATCTTAACTGAGGATTAAAGATACTTGAGTGCCCCTAGAACTGAAATGTAGAAATTAACTGAACAACAATTTAGCCAGACTTATAACCTTGATTACATTATTCTATCTTGATGTCAGGCTTTAGAATGGGTCAGTGTATACATTTTAGGTCTTTGTATATATATTAGGTTGTATTATGATCATCATCCTCATCATCTGGATTTCTGCTCTCGCCCATTGAATTCATAGGTGATAATGTATTGTATATATATGCTATCTTGTAACTTTTCATTTTTTGCCCATTGAGTTCATAGTTCATAATGTATATATATGCTATCTTGTAATTTTTCATTTTTCTTCAGTAAAACTTTTTTCTCTCCACTTTCACAGAGGGAATATTTATATTTACTGACTTATATCTCCCTGCTTCCTCTTGCAGGTCTATATATGCGACCAAAAATTTGATCCCTTGCAGTTTTATGCATTAGGTCGTCCTTGCCCAAGAGTTTGTAGCAAGGAAACCGAAGAAAGCATACACTTGTGTTTAAATTCCGTTAAGGAGCAAGGAGGAGCAACTGAAACCCGATGTAACAAAAATCATCATTGGTTACATAGGAAAACAATTGCTGATGTGGTTGAAGCTCTGGTTGGAGCTTTCCTGGTTGACAGTGGCTTTAAAGCTGCAATTGCCTTTCTTACATGGATTGGCATACGAGTTGATTTTGAAGCTTCACAAGTAGTTAATATTTGCTTAGCAAGTGTTGGCTATTTCCCTCTTTCATCTGATGTAGACATTCCATCTCTTGAAAGTAAGCTAGGACATAACTTTGTTCATAAGGGTCTGCTTCTCCAGGCATTTGTACATCCTTCATACAATAAGCATGGAGGAGGCTGTTATCAGGTAAGTGCCACTTTTTTCCCCTCACAATGTTCTCTGACTTTGGATAAGAACTATTTTCTTTACTTTTATAGCTCTGAATTTTTGGGAGACATTTGGTCTTTAATTTTTGAAACATGATAATTCTTTGCAGCGATTGGAGTTTCTTGGAGATGCTGTCCTTGATTATTTGATTACTTCATATCTATTCTCAGCTTATCCAAAACTAAAGCCTGGTCAATTGACAGATTTGAGATCATTGTCTGTTAACAATAAGGCATTTGCCTGTGTAGCAGTAGATCGCAGTTTTGATAAATTTCTCTTGTGTGATTCAAATTGCTTGTCTGAGGCAATAAAAAAGTACGTGGACTACGTTAGAAGACCTGTATCAGTTTGTGGCATTAAAGAAGGGCCAAAATGTCCCAAGGTAGATATTATGACCTCTATAAAAAGTTGCTACACTTAGTTGTTTTTGTTGTTATTGTTGTTGTTATTATTATTATTATCATTATTATTACTATTACTATTACTATTACTATTATTATTATTATTATTATTATTATTATTATTTTATTTACCAAAGTATGATGAAGTTTATGATCCATTTTAAATTTTCATTTGGGTATTTTACTTGGAATAATGCTACTCTCACACACATCACCACACATCTGTAAAGTTTACATTATTTGATGTGACTGTCAAGTTAACAAATTTACTTTCGATTCTAAGGTTTAGGCTTTTTATTGTTTGATTCAAGCAGCTCCTAAGTTTCTGATAGATGTGTATTGCTTTGTTATTTTGCATCATTGGTTGCTTCAGGCACTAGGTGACTTGGTGGAATCTTGTGTTGGTGCCATCCTTCTTGATTCAGGGTTCAATTTGGACAAAGTTTGGAAGATTATGACTTCATTCTTGGACCCAATCATGAAATTCTCATCAAGCTTGCAGCTCAGTCCTGTTAGGGATCTGCGAGAACTTTGCCAATCTCATAATTTGGAGTTGGAATTTCTGCCAGTGGCCTCAAAACTGACTAAAACGTTTTCAGTTGAAGCCAAAGTGACCGGGAATGGTGTATGTGAAACAGCTTCAGCAATTGGCCAAAATAAAAAGGAGGCTTCTAGAATTGCTTCACAACTACTTTTTTCAAAGTTCAAGGTAAAGCAAGTATGTTTAGTTTTATTTTTTTGATCCTTATTTTTTTTCAACTCAAAACCGTAGTACTTGCATTTCTTTATTGCATGGTGGCACCGCAGGTAAGTAAAATATTGTTGTGGTTCAAGTAAACAAGGGCAATAATCAGTTTTTTAACTTTTCTGCTGACGAGGGGAAATCATTTATGCTTATCTTTTTAAAAAGTTTTACATATTCTATTCATTTATTAATTTATGAAATACAAGGCTTTATATGAGAATAATCCAAGTTCCACATTGACTTGAAAAAAGACTAGCATAGAGTATATAAGTGTGGGGGGGGATTAGCAACTCTCACTTTACAAGCCAGTTTTGTTGAGTGAGTTAAGTCTAAATCCACATTCTAAGATAGTATGGGAACCTTTCCTAAATTCATTAAAAGGATTACTCACCATTTATTCATGCACCAAGTTCAATAGTAATGAACGTGAGAGAGTGTGTTAGAAAAAACATAAGTCCTAGACTGGTAGGAGATAAAACTAATATAAAATATATAAGTGGAGGTAAAATCTCACCTTACAAACCGGTTTAATAAGTTGAGTTAGATTCAAACCCACATTCTAAAAATTTATGTCTAAGATGTGATTTATTTCTTATTTAGAACTTGAAACTCTCATCTTAGGTAGTTCAGAATAATGTTATAGTACCACTTATTCCAAAAATGAGAAGCGAGGTAGTAACATTTTTTTAATACCATGGAGTACTTGCAGTTGAATTGATATACCAGATAGATTGTCTCACTTAATAGTCCAACAGATTATGGACAAAGTTCATCCTAAATTCTTTCTCCTTTATATTCTCTGTCGAGCCATCCTGTGTATTATGTTTGCTTTCTTCTGTTGAATTCTGCTCTTTAGATACTTTTGTCTGGGCTGATTGAAAAATGGTATTTTCTAAGTTTGTTCTTGTGCCTAAGCACGGCTGTTTTTAGTTTGTAGAAATTGTTTGGTGAATCTTGTGTTATGTGTAATATTAAATCCACACATATGCTCTCTTTTTATGATCAAGGGAACAATTAAGGGTACAAAAAATCAATCAAATCCCCAATTTCTAAAATGGGATATTCCCCTCATTCCGCATTTACATATACTAAATGCTGGATATTTCCCTCATTCTGTATCTACATATATACTAAATGCAGGATATTTCCATCATATACTAACGTAGATTTTCAGCAATCATTTTTTAAGAGCTTTCTTTTAAAATAAATTAATAAAGGGATGACAGTGGTTAACATATTACCGGGAACTAGCCCTTAAATCTGATACTTAATTTTGTCTTTGACATCATCCCTGCAGAGAGAAATATGTATATGTTATGTCAGTGGCAACTGGCAAGCACTGTACTGAATGTCTTGTTAGTTGTTAATAACAAGAGAAATACAATTAGTGAAGCTGTAATATAGCTATACACAATAACAACTATCATAGAAATTAAGAAATAATTCTAATATCTCAGCATTACTTAGTGAATTTCTTCTTGAACATGCATTTGGATAAACCCAAATTCCCTAAGTAATCCTGGGATTGTTGTTATATAAAACATTTGGAGTTGCATTTTCCCTTCCTCAGCTACAACTCCAGGAGCTGTATTGTTTGACTTTAACTAGTGATTAAAGCAGTCATGTGTGTGGATGTGTGCAGACTCAAGGCTGGAAAGCAAAGTCAAAGACTTTGGAAGAAGTTCTCGAATCAACTTCTAAGATGACACCAAAACTTATTGGCTATGATGAAACTCCTATTGATGTAACAGATACCAATACCGCAGGGCACATAATGGTTAATTCAGACAAGTCTTCATATGTAAAATACAACCAAGAGACAGTTGAAATATGCTCTCCATGTGTGAAACCTTTTGGCCAAAGGCTTCAATCTTCTGCAAAGGGAAAGCTTAGTCAAATATTTGAAAATAGTAATAGTGGCAGTGACTCGTCAGGGACAGGTAGTATAACGTCATAGTATTTTATTGAGCCAGTGTCTCTGTTAGTCCTGAATATGGTTTTATATTTTTTGGCTCAAAGGAACGGCTAGATCACGATTGTATGAATTTTGTGCTGCTTATTGCTGGAAACCTCCTTCATTTGAATGCTGCAAGGAAGAAGGACCAGACCACCTAAAACAGTGAGTTCCTCGTTATTTAAACATCTAATGTTGAAATATTAAGATTTAAAAATAAGAAATCTGGGTAGTGATATGTTGTTACCGAAGATTGACTAATAATAAAAGTTAAGTTAGGTTCAAATCCAAAATTTTAATAGATGAATGGATGATGATAATTAGAGTTGAAATTTGTAATCTTTTTCATCAACATATAGTAATATTAAACTTGGTTCACTTGCATACATTTTGTTACTTTATAAACAACTCCCGGTTCATTTCTGGTTACATAATAAAACTTCCAGTGTCTTTTTTTTTTTTTTTTTTTTTTTAACACGACATCAGGGGTTCTATGGTGACACTGCTATTTCTGTTTATTGTTCCATTTTTAGATTCACTTGCAAGGTGATCTTGGAGATAGAAGAGGCCCCAGATATGATTTTAGAGTTTGTTGGGGAACCTCAGTCAAAGAAGAAAGATGCATCAGAGAGTGCGGCTGAGGGTGCATTTTGGTACCTGCAACAGCAAGGTTACTTGCCTAATGGTAATTGACATGTTGCTGAACAATAGGTGTTAGGCAGTTTGAGGGTGTCATTGTTATAGGTAATAATGTAATATAATCTACAAGGCAATTATACAGGTTTAGTAAAATCCAGGGTTTTCCCACTTGTTAATCCGATGTAAAATATTATTATTCATGTAGTATTGTAGTGTCAAAGTTACATCTATCATTGTATGTAAACTACTATTCTCGATTATAACAGTGAATTTTCTGTGTTTCTACTTTTGAAATGTGAATATAATTTCCTGAAACATTTGGTCATTGCCCTATATCGTCTTCTTCTTTTTTTTTTTCCGAAGTAAAAATTGGTCTTGATAGAGTAAAAAAAATTAACCATTTAATGTTATTCAATGAATTTTGTAAAACAGTAGGTAGAGTACTAATTATCTATAAAATTAAATGATTGGGTTATTGATTTTTTTATTTTATTTTTGTAATAGATGGGTTGAATATAAAATAATTATTCGTATTTAATTTATCATAAATTTAAAATATAATTTGTTTAAAAATATCTATTTGTATTAATTTTAAATATAATTTATATATTTAATTTTATATATATATATTATTATAAATTTTAATCATATATAATAAATATTTATTTTGTGTAATGCAAATGTTAAAATACTAATAATTATTAATAGTCAATCACTTTATTTTCAGGAATGATAAAAAATTACTAAACATTAAAGAAATCTAAACCAGTGTTTTAAAACCCGGACCGACCCGGCCGGTCGGACCGGTTGGACCGGGAACCGGTGGTCCAGCCGGTCCGAATCTGAAGTTGGATCGGTTATGCAGTTGATCCGTTTTAAACCGGATTGAACCGGTCAATTTTCCGGTTCAACCGGTGAACCGGTGTGTCAAACCGGTTCAACCACTTTTTTTTTAAAAAAAATTTTTTTTTTAAGGGATCATAAATCACAAAAATAATAATAAAAATTGAATCTCTTAATGAAAAAGCAAGGAGTCTTATTAAATATAACAATGACTACTTGTTCTAATATATTTGTTTGCAATATATACAACTTAAATAACTTTTATAGTATATTATTAATTTTAAATTATATATTTAATAATGCAATATCTATGTAAATATTACATATATTATTTTCTGATATTAATTGCAAGCATATTATATATGTACATATTATTTATATTTTTAATTTGTATTAATATACCGTTTAACATGTAATTTTTTAACATGTAATTTTTTTACGTATTTTTTTACAAAATAAAAATAAAAATAAAAATAATTTTAAATAAGATAAAAAAATTAAAATTTAAAATAAGATATGAATTTATTAAAATGTATAAGTATAAAATATATTTAATATGAATGCTTTTTAATAAAAATAAATAAAAATCGAGTCATGCGGTTCAACTAGTGACCCACCGGTTCAACCTTTGACTCACTGACCCAGTACCTTAACCGGTTCGATGACCGGTCCGGTTTTTAAAACTATAATCTAAACTGAAACTATTTATGTGGAGTGAATACTTTGTTTCGCCCCTGGTTGGAACTAATCATGCAGTGTCTACCTCTTCTCTCTCCTTCTTAACTATACAAAATTGTATTACATGTTCTCTCTTAAATGCTCACTTATTATTTCTTGGATCTAAGATTATTTTATTTTAATTTTTTAATCATTTTAATTACTATCAACTTGGCACAATGGTCTGATTGGACTAGAAAAAGAGAACAGTTCAAAATAAATTCTAGGTTAAATACCTCTTTTGGTCTCTTATAATGTTTTTTGTTTTAATTTAGTCCCACTTTAATTTTTTGTCTCAATTTGGTTCCTAATAATTTAAATCGTTCCAATTTAGGACTTCCGTCTAAATGATTTAAACGGAGTTAACTGGTGGTCACGTGGATGCCACGTAGATGCCACGTAAATGGATCCAAAAATACTTGAATACACCTGGAACCAGAACAGCCTGTTCTGAAATCAGAACGGCTCGTTCTGGTTACACTATTGGTGTGTAAAATTTGCACTTGGAACGGGCTGTTCCAGGTCCAAAATTAACACACCAATAGTGTAACCAGAATGGGTCGTTCTGGTTTCAGAACGGGTCATTCTGGTCCAGAATTTCGTGCTCAAAAAAACCAAAATACAAAGCATTTCAAACACTATATTTGGTAATATTGTTAATGAGGATTAATAACTTCAATTGCTAAACATTTGGGCTATATAGTATATCATTAAAGATGATGCAGTGTATCACTAAAGACAATGGTAAAAAGTTTTATTTAATTGTTAGTCAAACTAGAGTGAACCACTTACTACCAAATTGACACTATACAGTCAAGGATAAAACGAAACAGCGTTTTTCCTTGAAGTCATTGATGATGTACCCCAACAGTCACAACCTGTTCTTGAGGAGGTACCCCTAAACCCTGAATTTTATTTTCAATTTTTGAAATACATTGCGGCATTTTAGTCAAGATTTTGAACTGGATAAATTCAAATCAAATAAATATTTTAGAAAGTCTTATCTTATTTGATTTTTTTTATAGTTTTACATAAATGAATATTAATTTATTATATTTTTTATTTATTATATATTTATTAATATAGATATAATAAAAAATACAATAAAAAGCATGGCGTTCTGAAACGGGTCGTTCTGAATTCAGAACGGCCCGTTCTAAAATCAGAACGGCCCGTTCTAAAATCAGAACGGCCCGTTCTAAAATCAGAACGGCCCGTTCTAAAAGCAGAACGGGCCGTTCTGGTTTCAGTTTTTTTTTCTTCGGAATTTTGGCGTCCACGTGCGCATCCACGTGGCATCCACATAGATGTCACGTGGCCAACAGTTAACTTCGTCTAAATCATTTGGGCGAAAGTCCTAAATTGCACTAATTTAAGTTATTGGGGTCCAAATTAAGACAAAAAATTAAAGTAGGACTAAATTGAAACAAAAAACATTATAAGGGACAAAAAGAGGTATTTAACCTAAATTCTAAGTATTATTAACCCATGTAAGTTAGACTGAGTCGAAATAAAAATGTAATAAAAAAGTATTATTTGATAACTATACTTATAAATTAAAAATAAAGCGATATTTTAGTAAATTGAAATGTGTTAACTATTAAGATATTATAATAAATAAATCGACGTATTTAATATATGAAATAATTAATTTATTTTTGATATGGGTATAAATGTAATGTATTTCAATCACATAAAATAATTGGGTATTATATTATTAATAATGTAAAGTGTATTACACTATTATTCAGTTAAAAATAACTATATAGGATAACTCTACTGACTTTTGTAAAAACTACTTAAAAATTATACTTGTTATAATTTCTCATTTTAATAATATATAAAGTTCTATCGACGGATAAAAATCAAACTCTTTTTAGAAATATATAAAAATGATTTTTTTCTACTTTTTTTTTATCAATATGTTTTTCTACTTAATATATAGATACAATATAATAAATTAACATAATTGTTAGTCCCACTTTATTCAATATGATTTTAAGCAAAATTTAACTTATGGTATCATATTTAATACTATTAATTTCAAAATATCATTCACTTTACTTTCAATGCTTCTTTTATTTTATAAAAAATGTCTGGCAATATAGGAAAATTTTATTTTTAACTAAGATTAACAAAATTAATAATATTAACTAACTTTTTCTACATAACACATAAGTTAATTAATTATGCGTACAACTAAATTGAAAAATAGTATTACTTTGATCTTAATTATAATAAACTTTTTTTGTTGGTCGAAGTCCATAAGTTATTATAAATTTCATTAGCACTGACTTTGACTTTTAATGAATAAAGTAATATTATAATAAACATAAATCTGTTTTTAGATGTATTGTATTTTCTTTTATATTACTAAATTGTTACAAATTTATTAATAAGTCATTCACTCGTTTTAATAGAACTGGATAGATTTATTAGGATAATTGAAAAATAATTTTCCTTGATTTATAAGTAATGTCATTAAATATAATCATTATTTATATGATTTAATTTAAAAGATATTTTCAGAATAAAAAATTAGACTATAATATTATTAATATAAATCAAGTATTTGTTTATATATATATAATACATTATTAAATTATTTTATATCAAAATACTTTTTTGAATTTTTTCAATATGTAACAAATTGATCCTAAAATCAGAAGCTGTTTTAGTATTTTATAAAATAAAATAAAAACATAGATAAAGTAGGCCTTGGTGACGTGGCAGCATCAGTGTGACCCCGCCAACAGTTCCCGCCATAACTTTCCCGCCAAAATCAGGCTTTTTTCTTAATCCCTTTCTGTCTTCCCACAACCCTTACCGTTCCTCACAGATTTCTTCTTCTCACTCTCTTTCTCTCTTCCCAAACCCTAATCGTGCCTCAGATTCGGAGAACATGTCAGGCTGGGATGAAGGAGCCGTCTACTACAGCGACCAAGCGCTCGCCGGTGACGACGGCGCCGGCCTCCGCGGCGATGGCGGCACCGATTCGAACCACTCCCTCCTCCAGAAATTCAAGGAGTTCATCCGAAACTTCGAGACCGCCAACAACGTATTCCCTTACAGAGAGAGCCTTCTCGATAATCCTAAGTTCCTTCTCATCGATATCGGAGATCTCGATACCTTCGACTCTGACTTTCCCGCCAAACTCCGCTCCTCC